ATTGTTTTTAAAATAGGAAATGAAGGATGACCAAAACGGAAATGATGACGCCAAATTAAATCTTTATTGGAGGTAGATAAGAATGACTCGTGTGTGACATGCATAATAGTGTGAGATGATTTGCTGGTTGCTTCAAGGTAGTAGAGTCCATCTCTTTCCTTAGCAAGCAAGTTCAATCTTCTTCCCCGAAACCTGGTCCTGAAATACACAATAAGAAGGGAAGAACACAACATTGCAGTTCACATCCTGTTCACGGCACTGTTTATGTCTCAACTTTTTGCAGTGTTGTGTAAATTGGTGGTGTTCTTCTAAAAGCCCTCTATTCAGCAGTTTGAAGAGGGCAGCCTTGTGATGTCTTGAGTTGTGAGGTAGGTGCTCCTCAATGTATAGTGATTTTTAGTGGTTTGTGGTGTGGTAACACCTTGTGGTAAGTGTATAATCTTTCCCAAGTGTTTCCACAGTAAAGGGCTGATGTTTTTTGGTGTTTTTCCTAAAGAAAAAGGTGTTACAGTAGTTGCATACCAGCTTTTTGACAGTTTGCCTAAGTGACAAATTAGTGATCTCTTCTCATTCATGGCTTCATCAAATAGTAGCACTAAACCTACAGTAGTTGTGCAATCAGATTTCATGACTTCTCAATTAACTACAATGAAACTTAATGGTACTAATTATATCCCATGGGCCAAGTCGATTGACAAATATCTCATTGCAAGAGGCAAGTTGAAGTACATCAAGGAGGGTCCATTGAAAAGTGAATCAGAAGGGTACAATTAATGGGTACAAGAGAATGCCCAAATTATGACATCCCTTTGGAATAGTATGGAGAATCACATTAGTATGAACATTATGTTTCTAGACACGACCAAGGAGATTTGGGATATGCCAAGCAATTGTATTCTGGACAATACAATGTCACAAGAATTTAGTAGTTATACCAAGATTATTTTTCTCTTCAACAAAGTGATAAAAGTGTTGAAGAATACTATGCTTCTCTTAAAAGTTGAAGGAATGAGCTCAATGTTTATCAACCCCTATCCACTGATTTGAAGACTTAACAAGAACAAAGAGAACATCTAGATGTGGCAAGATTTTTATCTGGGTTGAGGTCTGAATTTGAACCAGTGATCTTCCATCCTTGTCTGAGGTTTTCTCCTACATAAGGAGAGCCTCAAATCCACATAGTGATCATCCCCCACCTTCAGAGAGATCAGCCATGATGGTTACCAGAGGAGGTTTTCTTAGTAGAAATATGCGTGGTAGAGGTGGAGGTAACATGAGGGGTTTTGGTCGTGGGCCTAGAGGTGCATGATGAGGTGGTAGAGAGGTTAGT